TCTGGAACCCTAAAGTAATCATGGTCTAAAACAACCATTCCATCAAGTTGGTAGAGAAAATAGAGATTTATAAGCATAAATTTGGATAATGAGGTATAAATCTATTTTCTTATGAACTTATTGATTTCATGTGGTTATATGTGTAGATTTATGTATCTTCATCAATATTATACATGATATATATGAGGTTATCGGGTAAAATTAAGAAAAAAAAATTGATGCAGAACCTAGTTGCCATTGATGGTGATACATGAAATATACGAGGCTATTGGGTATAAAGTGCGGGAATTCTGAGGATCTAACATATGGCCTTTTACAACTAATTCCTGCTATTCTTAGGCATCTAGATCTGCCAAAAACAAAGGAAATACTTGGTCTCATAACTGGAAAATTAAAAATTTCTTTCTATATCATTTAAAAAGAAATTTGGAACTGGTTGGTGAATCAAAACAGGTCATTTTGATTGTTTTTTTCCCCAATAACTAATAGTTACTTTAGATGAATTAAAATAATACCAAGAAGTTAGCTGATGTGATCTTAAATGACCCAAATTCTGTTCCAAGGATGCAATCCTGTATCAAGGAGGAATCCCACAGAAAGCAGAAGTCACACGGGACAATTACTCACGAGTCTGCAGCTGCACGGGAAGAAGAGCATGCAGCATGCACAATGCGCAAGCGCAAAGATGCAGCACATATATGTTACACAACACACGGATGCAGACCCGTGCGTGCAGGAAAAAGGAATTCCCGCAGGTCCTGTCCCAAGCAGAATGGACCAAGTTTGTTCAAAGAAGGCTTGAAACGCATTAAGAGACCTGCAAGCTTGGAGAATTACAAGGGAAGAAGAAAGGCCAACTTTTGGCCTGACTCGAGAAGGCCCCAAGGCCTCATGGCCAAGGAGACATTCTGCCAAGGCAGGCTGCGTAAGCCAGCAGCTTAACGTGCGTGTATGGGCATGCACATGTGTGACAAAGGAGCACCTGCATGCGGGGCATGCAGAAGATCCGAAGCCGCATGCAGCAGGGTGCGCTTGTGCGGATAGATGCTGTCACATGCACACATGAAGTGCACACATGCAGATCGCGCCCAGGAAGGCACATGTGTGGGCTGCCCCAGCCGCACGCACACCAGCTGCGTGCGCGCTTGCGCTTGGAAGCTTCCTTAAGCACCAGCTGCACGCGGACAACAAGCTTGAGTCCAAGGAGGGCTCCTCTTCCTTTTTCCTTATTTCCATCCGATTCCTATGCTGCACTCTATAAGACTTCTGGACAAAATTGAAATCCAAAAAGATGGATATTCAGCCAAGAGAGGGAGTCTACTTTAGTTAAGTTAGTAATATTTTATTAATTTATTTTGATGTCTAGATAAGAATTTTAATTATTTTATTATTTTTAGTAAGAGTCCTAGTCAAATTAAGTCTTAAAATTAAAATAAGAATATGTAATCCTACTTAGAAAATTAAATCTTATAAAGGCTCTCCCACTGGGCTTGTAATCACAACTTACAATTTTGAGGATTAAATAAAATTAAAGATTTGGCTTTTCAATTAGCTTTACCAATTTTCTCTTTCAAAAAAAAAATTAGCTTTACTAATTTTGAGTGTCCTTAAGCGTTTTCAAGTAAGGAAGGTTCAGACTGATTTTTTTAGTTAAGGATTCACAGTTAACTTATCGGGTAAGCTGTGATGTTTTTTCTATTCTTTTTTATTTTTTCCAATTACCTTGATTTGCAATCAATCTTATTGGTTGTGCTTCAAGTAGGAAGGGTAATAGGTGGTTAAGTTTTCTGATTGTTACGCTGTGTGAGGTTTTGAGAGTCAAAATGATCATTTCCCATCCCTCCCGTTTTATTAACTAGTACGTATATTGGGATTTTGTTTTCTTCTAGGAAGATAAGAGACAATCAGTTTACTAGAATATTTGCTTAGTTTTGGATTTCTAACAAGCTTGTTTGGTATATGGACACCCAGAGCATCTAGAATCATAACGGCCATGATTCTCTCTAGTGTTGACTATCTAAAATATTTAGAATCACTGCTACCAGGATTCTCTAGAAATATCCTTACTATTCTATTTTTCTCTTATACTATGCAGATCTTTTACAGTAAAAAATGTAAATCCCTTGACTATATCGTTCTTTGTTTTGCAACCGTTCATAGCTAAGTTTCCATGTATCAGAACCTTGTATGTATAGGTTATGGGCCTCTATTTGAAAATATAAAGAAAAAAAATGTTTCCTTCTCGTTCTACTATTGTTTTCAACATGGTATGAGAACTATGCCCATGATTGCCCCTTACCTCCAAACTTGATCGTCCTGAACTCCATAAGATTTTTTGTTCGTGAAGCCTAATTTTCTAAAACTTCAATGAGTTTCTTTTCCTCACGCTCAGTTCCTGTCACTTCAATTTAGGCTCTATTTTTCTCAGTGCAGCAGTGATATTTGTATGAATAGAGAGAAATGAATCCACTTACGGATCAAAGTGAGTGCTGATATGCATCTCAAACTTCCTTAGAGAATGTCGGGAAGTTGGCCTCTGGTTTTAAGCAGAGAGTGCCAACACGTTATTTGCATTAAAAAACGAACAACATGTCTGTAATGCCAAGTTCCCTTACAGTATTGTGTCGTCTTCCTTGGTGAACCTAAAAAGTAGGGATACCTGTAGGCAGAAACTAACAACTTGCTTGCCTTGTAATGTTCTCTGTCCTGCTTTCTTTAGTGAACAGAGAAAGACAGCCCAGGAGGTGGTTTTTTGGTTCATAAACAAGGAAAGTGGCTGCAGATAAAGTTGATAGGGGAACTGCAAAAATTTATCACCTGCTAGTATGGTGCTGATAGTTTTCCAATCAAGAGGTACTAGCCCAAACTCGTTGCTTATTACGGTTTGACTGTTAGTCATCCATAGTAAGCTCACTTAGCTCTGTTATGTTAGATGACATTTCTTGCTAATAGTAAAAAACAAAATGCAATATGGAATATAAAGCCAGGAGCTTCAAACAGTATAACAGGTTTTCTAGACCTCCTTGAACTATATATCAAGCTTAGATAATGATAAAGTTCATACTAAGATGGGTTATTATCACATATCACTAGTAAAGGTTACATTACTTGCGCACCCTCCATTGCACTTTCTTCTATCCTTCACGTTCCTGATTTTTCTAGTAAGCTGTTCTCTGTAAGTGCAATCAACAATACCTCAATTGCAAAGTTGCCTTTATCTTATTTAGTATGTTGTTTCAGGAACTGAGGAGAAATAATTGGCTTTTTTACATTGCAAGACGAGCTTTATGTGTTTGTGGAGAGTAACAGTTCTTTGGTTCCTTCTAGAACTCCAGCAATTGGTAGGTGTGCATGTATCTGGTAATCAACAATCTATACAGTTGCATAGGAGGTTAGGTCATTCATCTTTTTTTTCTTCTTTTGTTAGTTTGTTTAAGAAGTGCAATTCAGAATAGTAGTTCTTTTATGTGCGTTAATATGCAAAACAAAAAGAACTACTTATTCTTTAATCAAAAAGAAACTTCTTGTTCTTTTTTAACTATTCATTCTATTCTGTAGTGCATTAATTTATTATTTAACTGTAGATGTTTTTTTTTTAATTGTTATTGATTGTTATACTAGAATGACTTAACAACAAAGAAAAAATCATTTTCAGCATGTGAAATATAAAGCCAAATCATTCTATTGGAAAAAAATATTTCTAATTGATAACCTATAAACTACATGGATGATGCTTTTTGGTGCTACCTGTTTTGCAATAGTGCTCAAATGGGTTGTTGAGCCTCCATGCTCACCATGGGCTTTCCGCAAACCTTAACAGGGACATGCAATTGTTGTTAAGTTGCCTACTTCGAATGCCTTTTGAAACTTTAGGCTTCCTCAAATCTTACTAAGAATAGACAATGTTAAAAAGAATGCATGTTATATATATTATTAAAATTGAGGGCACTATATATATTCTTAAGGTAGTAAAAGAAAATATATAATTAATTACATATATGGGTATTTTACTAATATACCTTTTACCTTGATTATATAAAAATATACTTTCTTTTTTAGTAAATGTTTCCCAATACCCCCTCTCAAACTGGTTAATAAATATTATCTATTCCCAGTTTGGAAATTATCATTTGAAATATGTGATTATTCGACTCTTTAGTTAACACATTAGCAAGTTGTAAGGTGGTGAGTATGTATGGCATGTAAATCACAATCGCTATTGAGTTTCTCCTTAATAAAGTATTTTTCAAATTTAATAAGGTTGGTTCTATCATGTTGTATCGAATTGTGTGCTACATTAATTGTTGACTTGTTATTTCAACAGTCTAATAGGCCATTCT